AGAGAGAGAGAGAGAGAGAGAGAGAGAGAGAGAGAGAGAGAGAGAGAGAGAGAGATTGCATTAACATTCCACACAATTATAATTAGGATTAAATGACATGCTTTAGTACCTAATATTGTCTTTGCTACCATTAACTAATTTTGGAGAGTTCAGTGTTTCCTTATATTCAAAAGACAGTGAGTCATGAACACATACATGCCTTACTAAATAACAACATAGGAAATAAATTCCTCTACTAACATTTATAGGGTGATACCCAGAGAAAACACGTGCAGATGGAGCATTTTTCTATAAATATCTCATCCATAGGAACCTAGGACTATTTGTCACAAGTAGCTAAAGTTGACCATGTCCTCAAAAAGGAATATAATTATTTTTCAGTTTAGTGATAAAGTTCTACTTAGCCTGTGTTACCTATGAGCTTTCTAGCCTCAGTGAAGAAAAAAAGTCACGTAAGAGTCTGAAGCCTCGGAGGCTCCACCTTCAGCATACTCCCCACTAAGGAGGATTCTTTCTGCACTATCTCCTTCACATCAGACTGCTTGTTTGTTTGTTTCTTTGGGTGTGGGGACCTGGAAGGGAAATTAGGACCTTGCCCTTGCCAGGCAGGCGCTGAACCCCTGCGCTGTATGACGAGCCACAGGCTGAGTGTCCAGAGGCACTTACCCAGCTTAGGGCAAGCACAGATGCCTCGCGCTCTCTTCCTGTTTTGAACATAGTCCCCCCACTATAGTCTTTCTTATTTTTTGTTTTTTCTTTTTGAGACAGGTTCTCACTATGTGGCTCAAACTTACACAGGGTGACCTCAAACTCAAACAGTGCTCCTGCCCCAGCCTTCTAGCGCTGGGATTACAGGTGGGTGCCACACTCCCAGCCTATCCACTATAGTCTATAACTCTTTTGATGCAGATCAGATTCATCTCTTCATTCTGTGTTCAGAGTAAAGGTTTTGTTGAAGAAACCTTTTACAATGAGTAAATGAGTTAATCTCAGCCATTTTAAGCAATTTAACATATTATCCCTCTTTTAAAGTCTTACAGTGACAAAAATTTATGTGAAATATTTTATACTACTTACTATTAAAATGTGTAGCTGGACCCTGGAATCCAACTGACTTGATTTGAGACTATATAATATTTTTTTAACCTATGAAAAGCTAAATCAAATGAATTTATTGTTGTCCTCAATTGCCTTTAAACAGTGAACATATTACATGTTTTGAACAAATAAGCCTTTTTATTGCCTCCATACAAGAGTATTTTATGGAGATTTCTCCTGTTGAAGAGACATTAAAAACAAGCATGAGGCTGTTCAGTGTCATTTTATAAATGAAAGATATAAGATTATGTTTCATTTGCATTCTTTTGAAAAATACTACAGTCTTGTAGAATTAACATAGTATTCCTCTCCCAACTGCAATCTTGAATATGGAACCAAGTCTAGTATTTAAAAGATTCTAGATTTCCATACTGAAAAATCCAATAATGTTAGTTCTGGAGGCTACTACAATATCATGAAACCCAAATTAAAAAAAAAAAAAGGATCAGGAATTGGAGGTCCCAATTATCTGTAGCATTTATGACTGTTCATTGATCGAAAAGTCAGAAATGGAAAGCATGTTTCCTAAAAACTATTACACAAATCTTTGAGGATGGCTTAGCACATTGGTCAGTAAGTGTGGCTTCTGTTTGCGAATCAGGATGGAGAGTGGTGAGCAATTGGATACAAGGTGTTGTTGACATACATGAAGCACTTTTAGGGATTCAATGTGCACTTTGACTTTGAGGAGGGTGGATCATGACTGGCAGGGGAAAAATTAAAGAGGATGAAAACCTGTGCTCAAGTTAAGCAGAATCAGGAGATGAAGTGGAGTGCAGGATTAGCGTACATCTTCTAGTGGGAGGGACTGAGCTGCACGTCTTAAGCTACAACTACTGGAGTGGGAGATTGGCAATCATAATCTTGTACATAGTTATATTGTGATGTTGATATTCAACGTTGATGAACAGCCACTCCTAAGCCAGAAGGGCAAGGTCTTATATGGTTACGAGAGGCTCACAGTTTTCATAGGTAGAGTCAGTTGAGGCATTTACATGTGCCAAGAGAACACTGAACAACTCACGTGAAAACCCAAGTCCTTCTGGATAACGGGCAAATACATACCGTCATTTTTCAAGTACTGTCCAAATGAAAGCTCATTTATTTCCTTCAAAAAGTATAGCATATAACTAAAAAGTTAACCTTGGCCCCAAAGAGATAGTGCCTCTTCCCTCTATTCCTAGGAGGCAATGTCTAAGCCCTTATGATTTTCTGCCTGGTCAAAGGGTCTCAGCTTACTTGCAATCTTAGGCTACTCCAGAAAGCCTAACAACACAGTCTATGGGGAGGAGTAGGGTAACTCAAGTCACACCATATCAGCTTGACCTCTGGCTGGGTTGGCTATTGAAGTTAGCTATGTGACAGGGACCAAATAAAGTCTCTAGGTCAGAGGGCTTGTGCTCATTTCCCTGGTGAGCAATAGTCCCTGCACATAGTCATGCTTTTCACTGAGAAAGCAACTCTGTTCATGACTCCACTAGAAGAGGACAATTGCAAACTCTGCTTTTGCAATTTTCCTGCACTCTACCCTAAAGTCTTAACTCTTGCTTGATTTTTTGTATATTCTTACTGTGATCAACTGCAAATCTGCATATAATATCTTCCAGTCAATTCTATAAATTCTTCTAATGAACTATTCAACATCAAGGTATTCTTGAGGACCCCTGAAACGTGTAGCTGGTGATCTTAGGAACTGTCCTTTAATTTCTTACATGAGCCAATTACCATTATCTCCCTCATCTTACACATGGGACAACTATAGTACATAAGTGCTAAGCAAGTTGCTGAGGGCCTTTACAGCTAGTAAGACAGACTGAGCTTCATGGAACTGACCCCAACCTCAGCTGTTCTCAGTTGAGTCCCAGACTAAGCAATCAGCATCCATGTGAAGGTAAAATTTAAGTATCAGTTTACTTTCAGGTTATAAGATATATAAGAACTCATAAGCTAAAGTCTCTGCTATAAAGGAATGAATTATATGTCTTCATTGCTTAACTTGAAGAATGTTCTATCATTCTTTTAGTAGTTAGCTTTAACTTGAATAGGGATATTTTATAAAATGATACATTTTTGTTGTGCTTTTAGGGAGCAGGGTTTCACTGTGCAGTTCAGGCTGGCCATGAACTATGTAGGGCCAAGGTGGCCTTACACTTTCATCAATCCTCCTACATCAGCCTTCCAAATGTGATTATGTGTCATGCCACCACATCTAACTAGTAAATATTAATGGTAGGATATCATTAATTCTTTTGAAAATTAAAAAATTATTTTTGAAAATTAAATTTTAAAATTTAGTTAATTAAAAAATTAATTTTAAAAATTAAAAAATCAATTTCTGATGTTCATTCTTGAGAAAATGTTTAAGAACTTCTCAATCTGAGAAAATGATATGCTTATGGCTGCCTTAGGTGATATTTATGTACTTGCTATTTCTTTACAATACAGCTAGCTGCACTTTAAAAATAAAGTTACTCTTTCAGGTTCTTACATTTGGGAGATGATAGAATGTCAACATAGTGAGTCTGATTTATCTCACTTATGAGTACAATCCAAAGGGACAACAGATATTGTGAAAGAGAAAGAAACTGCTCAAAGGAACGAACTTCTGGGATGAGGGAAAGAGAAAAAGAAAGGAAGAAGACAGGGAGAAAAATACATAAATACAGATATAGGATAGCTGGGATGATTGCACTGCTAATTTCTATTGGTTTATTGAAGGGAAAACAATGATAATATTTATTTTGACAAATTTTACATGCTTATATCAGATAATCTGAGAAACTACTTTGAAGACAATAATGTGTAATGGTTGCATTGTTGAATTGTTATCTTGATTTTTGAAATTCTGTGTAAGTGGATGCAACTTGAAGATATACTCATAAGTGAAATGAACTAGACCCACATGCATCCTTTTTAATGCATTTTATATCATTTTAGTCTCTTTAAAATAAAATTTAAAAATAGTTATTAAAGTAGACAAGAACTATTTCATTATTAACTTATCTCAGCACCCAGAGCCATCAAAAGAACAGAGAGTATTTAAAAACTGTACTCTGAGTTTAAGTCCAGGGTTTAAATCAACAAAACATGAGTTGAGATATGTATCAAGATTTTTTTCAAGTATCCACGCTTATATATCACTTTTTGGGAGAAAACAATACGAAAAAAGTCTCAATAAAATTGTAAAAGTTGATTCTCCTTGTATTTCTTCAATACTCATCTGGGAAGATGTCTTAATAAACTGCATCTATAGTATACGAAACCTTATTAATTGGTCACAAAAACGGAGTTTGGTTTTTAAGTTTATTATTGGAAGGTCACATTTAGACACACATACTATTACTAATACTGTTTTTCAAATTTGTTTCCTTCAGTCCCAAAAGTCTTTTAATAACTGACATTGACCATACGTGAGTTGCAGAGCATTCTACTTACATATTCACAGCCACATACAGAATTCTTCACAGGCACTTTGAAGAATCTAAAGGAGTCTTTTATTATGGCATTAGAAAGTGAGCTCAAGGTTAAGTTAATTGAAGCTAAATTGTAATTTAGAAAAAATTCTGGTGTACCCAAAATCACATTAGCCTGAAATCCAGCAGATCTGAATTCTGGCCCTGGTTCGCTACCTAGTTAGCTCACTCAGGTTGAATTCTTTAACATTTTTATAGTCCATTCCATTCTCTCAGTGATTTTGGAGCATACAGCATTTTAAAACTCCCAACTGCATAGTATGCTGAGAATTTCTTGTGAGTTTGTGTTAAGGAAATTCCCATGTGCACGAATCCTTGGGGGACACTTACCATGTTTGCTTTGCTATGTCGAACTGGTAGGCCCTCGTCAGCTCATCCAGGTGAGCCTGCAACATGGGCTGCATCTCCTCCCGTGGTGAGGGAGTGAGAGTGGCAGTGGACTGCTGTCCGAAGGAGATAGCAGGAGAAGAGGCCACGCCTCTAACAGGAGGTGTTGGAACCCGGTCATCATCTTCTTCCAGTTCGTCTTCTATACCCTGGTGTAAGTATGTCTGCACGGGTAATGGTGGGCACCAGCTATCGCTGTCATAGCTGAAGTAAGAGGAGGACAAAATGCACATTGAAACATATAAGAATGCACACAGTTAACACTAAGGCAAATGACAACCATATTGCGCCAAATTGCTCTCTCAGTTTATTTCTTCCTGTTGGTGCTCCCACAATAAATCACCTGGCTATTATCTTAACTTCCAACTGTAATTACATCTGTTATCTCAATATCTCAGTTTATACTTTAAAGACCTTATTAGCTAATTGTTATCCCACAGTTACACAAGGCAATAACTTCTCAGCAAAGTTACTCATGTGGAAACACCAAATTGCTAATTAAAGACAATTAATGAATTTAAGACTTGTAGATTTAACTACTTCCTTCTCTTGATTAGCTATTAAAGGTTTAAACTTTTGCTTTTCCTTACTATAGATCCATACCAACACTTCAGTCCATATGACATAACAATAATTATAAATAGTGTCATTGAATATAATAATTTTATCAATTCAGGCTCTTAAACATCTCTTGGCTCCAATGTTTCATCCTACCTCTGCAATAGATCAGTCTCTTTCCAATGTAAACTATCTCATTAGCTCTATGATGAGGCTCTTTCCATTTTTCTACCCTCACAGTCATTAGCCATGCTAAAAAGATCCTTGCACAGTAGATAAGCCTATTTTTCTAACTTTATTTACACCTCTTTCCCTCATCAGCCTTATGCATGTTTTTCTAAACTCTGGACA